AAAAGCCTGGAGCAGTGTTGCGTGGGGAAAAAGTCAAGGTTTTACCGGGAAAAAGTGTTTCACTGGATGATGTTGCAGTTTCTTCTGTTTTAAAAATACCCTTTTGAACAACTCCTTAGATAAAATAACTTCTTCAGTAGATTTGGATAGTTTTAAAGATATTATCGATTATGATATGCCTTCCAGCTCCAAGATGTATATAGAGCTACAAGAAGATTCTGCAAAAAAATCTGAAAGTATACAGAAAGTCAAAAGTAAAACGTTAAAAAAAAAAGATTTATTTGCTAAAAAAAGTAATTTATATAATGGTGTTTCTGGCCTTTATGGTTCCATTTTCCATCAAAAGCAGACACATATCCAAAAAAAGCTTGAAGACTGCTTAAATGAAGACTGCTTAAAAAAGGGCTTTGAATCAGATCCTAATTCTAATAAAGAAGTACATGATTCTGGTATGGTTGTAACCTCTAAATATCCATTAGTAGAGGGTTCTCATGTTATTGTAAGGTTTGAAGGAAAAAAGATACCAAATCATTTTGTAGGCCAATTTGTAAATTCAGAGGAAGATAATAATTGGAACATTAAATACTTTAGACGAGATTTTGTTGCTTCAAACCCAAGAATCATATCCTTCAAAGAACACCAGGTTCCTGATTACTTATTAACAGAAAGCAAATCTATTGTTAAACAGCTTCCTTGTATGAAAAAAACAACATATCAATATGAAAAAAACAACATATCTTTTTTAAAAGAAATCATTGGTGACTTATATATGCGTTGATATATTTCTGTATCATATATTTATGTTTTTTTGTTTTATTTTGTTATAAAGTTTGAACAAAATATATTAGACTATTTTTTCATTTGTTTATTTTATGTTTGAGAAAGTTGACTTAAACCAAGTTTAAGCTTATGTAAGTTTATACTAGTGTTCACATCCTTCGCCCATGTATATAATATGAGTCAGGGTGATAGGAAGTCCGGTTAGTTTGTCTGGATTATTTATTTTTTTAATACACAAGAAACCTTTTTTTTAATAAATTATGAAAATTGAAATAAAAAAAAAAGTTGTTCCGTTTGATTATGTTCAGCATACAAATAAAAAATATCTAAGTTTATTTGAATGCTAGGTAAAGAATATTAGATTAGATAAAGAAAATTCGTCTGCCGCATTGTTTGTCGTTGGATTTAATTTTTTGCAGGCGGCCAGGATGACCCAAAAATGGGACTGAGTGTCAGATAAGGATCTTTTGCGCGCACATACACACACAAAGTATGATGCTTTTGATAAAATACTGTCAATAATTTTTATAAAATGAAATTAAATCAATATTCAATATAAAATATAGATTTATTATTGCATCTATCTCCGCGTTAAAAAGCTATATCCGCGTAAGATTTTCCCAAATTTGTATATATGTATATATATATATATATATATATATATATATATATATATATATATATATATATATATATATATATATATATATATATATATATATATATATATATATATATATATATATATATATATATATATATATATATATAAATACAGTGGTTTTCATAAATTTAGACGCCCTCATATTTGAGAATAGAAATTTTTAGTTTTTTTAACGATAAAACAATGACGAAAAAAGATTTCGGTTAAGTTTTTTTTCTATTTATTAGATAAATAAATACTGAATACAAAATTTTAAAAAAGTTTACAAAAAAAATGAAATACTAAGTAATAATTAGGTACAACTACATGGTATTAAAAAAATTAGACAAAAAAAATTATTCATAAATATAGACGCACGATACATTAGAAGGCGTAATTTATGAACCAATCAATATTTTGAGTACCCGGTTTTTGCTTTAATACAACTAAGAACTCTTTTAGGCATAGACTCAACAAGATTTTTGCGCATCGCTTCTAGGACCCCATACCAGGTCTCCTTAAGGAATTCCTTCAGCTGACCAAGTGTGGAAATTTGAACCTTTGCTAATTCACGGTCAATCCAAGCCCAAATGTTTTCAATCGAGTTCAAATCAGGTGAGTATGGAGGCTACGGTATTGTTATGATATTATTATTGTTGAACCACTCCTTTGTATAGTATACAGTATGTGCAGTAGCGCCATCTTGTTGAAGTTTCCATGGTTTATCATTGAGCATAAGCAGGTCAATTGATGGAATTAGGTTGTTTTCCAGTACTTCTACGTATATTCTGGAGTTGATTCTTTCGGTGTATGTTTGGCACATACCAACACATGTAATTGAAGCATGACCAGATTCCTATCGAGCCTCCTCCACTTTGTACAGTCGGTCTAATGTACCTGGCGTAATACTTTTCGTGAGCCATTCTTTTGACTGTTATGTTAGATTTGCGATTGATAAGCTCAAATTTACTCTCATCACTTCACATAATGTTTTCCCATTGTTCTATTGTCCAATACCTTCTTTCACGACACCATTTTAGTCTCCTTTGTTTATCATATGGATGCAGAAGCGGTTTCTTCAAAGCAGTGTAGACTCCAATCTAGTATTTGATAAGTATTCGGCGGACTGTGCTTTGAGAAATAGATGTATTTCGCGTTGTATTGAATTCTGTGGTTGATTCTTTGTAACTAATTCTTGGATTACCTCTGACAGCTCTAAAACAAACACTGTCGTCCTTTCTGGTGGTTGACAAGGGTCTATCTGGCATCGTTTTCTCGCTGGCATCACCAGTGTGAAGAAAGTTTTGTTTCGTTGTCCGAACGTATTTCTCAGAAAATCCAATTAACTTGGCCATTTCTCTATTACTTTTGGTTCCTTCTTTGATGTGCGCAATAGTTTGCCATCTTTCACCTTGAGTGAAACGTCTTTTGCCCATTTTTTGCGTCTTTTTAGTGCAAAACTAACTTAACTTTTGTTTATTTATTAAATAATGATTAACTAATTCCAGGTAAGTCATATTTATATAAGGTTTTTTGACAAAATCAATTAATTTAGGCCTATTAATGAGAAATATGGGGAAAAACTACTAATTAACTATCAATTAACAAGATATAAAAGTTTTTTGATTGTGCGTCTAAATTTATGAACAAAATAAAATCAAGCTTATCAATTAACTTTTTTGTGTTAATCGGTATAGAATGAGTAATAAACATCCTGTAAAAAAAATGAAGGTACTCTATAATAGAGTTTTACTTCCTCTTTTAAATTATATATCAAACATAGCGGTAGCACTTTTATTTTATTTTTATTTTGAGTATTTTCTTACATATATGAAAAAAAAAATGAATGCGTCTAAATTTATGAAAGCTACTGTATATATATATATGTTTATGAAAAAGATATTAAGGTGCTCGTTTACCCCAAATCGTGGGGTAAATGCGCACCCGCATATTTTGTGTCATTAACTCTTTGCTGGAATTTTTTTTTTAATTCAACCTTCCTAAATTATAGACCTAATATAGTACTAAAATAACATATCTCACTTTTTAAAATTTTCTACTAGTTTTTATTTTATTTAAATAAAAGCTTCAAAAATGGTGCTCAATTACTAAAACAAATTCTTATCTCGTTTACCCAATTAGACAGTAGTGTGCACAATACCGTAGACAATTGTAATTTGGTTCTACGCCAAGTTCTTTTAATATATCGGTAGAAGCAAAAGCTTCTACCGATATATTAAAAGAACTTGGCGTAGAACCAAAGTTACATATGATTAAATAATAAAAGAATAAAAAAATATGAATTTAGAATTAACCCTGATATAAAGGTAAGGCTGCAAATAAAAGGAGTACGATAGATTTTATTTAATTTTTTTTAAAAAAAAAACAGATAAAAAATTGATCATGATTATTGGTCGTGGCGTTGTGGTAGTTACAAAAAATTATGAAAAATCTAACCCGTTGTCACGTTAAATAAGTAGACAAAATGAAACTCTGCGCATGCGTTAGTTCACGGATACTTATTTAACGTATCAAGTCACATTAAATAAGTAGACCGTTAAATAAGTAGACAAATTGAACAGTCAAGGCATTTTTATCCAGATGAACAAATAAAACAAAAAACATACGTTACGCAAACTTTAAGTCATGCAAATTATTCGTAACTGTTCCATCATAAAGATATTTTTTAACATCTTCAACAGAATAATCGTGGTCCGCCATCTTTTTCGTTTATAAACAATGTTACTTATTTAACGCTGGGTTTTAGGATCCTAGTTTTTAAGTGTTTCAGCGTTTTGAAGCATGCGCAAAACTGTTTGTCTATTTATTTAACGAGCTACTTATTAAACGCGACACCGTTCACTTCATATCCCTTTTTTTTAATGGCATGATGGTTACTTTTTTAAAAGCAAAAATGTACATTTTTCTTTGTATTTTGAACAGCGTAAAGTCACAACTAAGTTGGTTTTTACATTATTATTTTTTGAACTTAAAATTAGAGAAAAAACTTCTTTATCTGTTAAATAAAAAAAGCATAAATAAATTTTCTTTTGCATTTTTTTGTTTTTAAAATTTGCAAAATATAGCTTAGTGAAAAACATAATAACAAGTAGCGTTTTTTTTCTTAATTTTTAAATCTGAAATATTGAATAATAAATATTAAAATAAAAGTCTGATAAATGATGGTGTAAACGAATAAAATATTAGTACCTTATTTTAAAATAAATAATCTTAAAATATCGATACCTTAAGAATCTAGAACACGTCTAAAAAATTTCATGGGTTTTTTACAAATGTATTTGGAATCTTTACGTTATATATATATATATATATATATATATATATATATATATATATATATATATATATATATATATATATATATATATATATATATATATATATATACATATATATATATATATATATATATATATATATATATATATATATATATATATATATATATATACATTTGTTTTAAACCATCTTGAATATTTTGGTGGCGTGCAAACTTTATTACATTTTTATGAATAACCGAGTTAACCAAACTTTAGTATAAGAAAACACCATGTTCTTTATAACTCAAAAAAACTGTTTAAAAAACAAGCGTTAAAACATTTTTGAAATTTAAAATATTTATACAGTATCTCGTAGCCTCTTGGTATACAATATCGTAGTCTCTTGGTATACAGTATTGTAGTCTTTTGGTATACAGTATCGTAGTCTCTTGGTATACAGTATCGTAGTCTCTTGGTATACAGTATCGTAGTCTCTTGGTATACAGTATCGTAGTCTCTTGGTATACAGTATCGTAGTCTCTTGGTATACAGTATCGTAGTCTCTTGGTATACAGTATCGTAGTCTCTTGGTATACAGTATCGTAGTCTCTTGGTATACAGTATCGTAGTCTCTTGGTATACAGTATCGTAGTCTCTTGGTATACAGTATCGTAGTCTCTTGTGATATAAATTTAAACATGTTTTATAAAAAAGTTTCAATAAATATTACAAAAAATGAACTATGTCTCATCAAATTTGTATGCTAAAAATTTTACTAAATCGTTAAATGTATCTTCACGTTATTTTATCTATACGTAAAGTAAATTCAGATAGATTAAAACTGGGCTTCGTTTTCAATAACTTTTCTGAACTCCCCGAGAAAACCCGAAGGTCGACGTTAGAATTAGAAATATTATTAATGCGAGTTGATTTTCTTTGAGATGGAAATTTTTTATTAAGTCGATTTGATGTCTTCTCTTCTATAGAAATTAAATCTCTTTCATAGGGTATTGATTTAATCGCCGATTGTTTATTAGAAGAATTAGCCACTGTGTTTTTATCTAATGTTTTGTTTGAAGCATTGGATCCAATAGATATAGCGTTCGAGTCGCTATTTAAATTTGATAGGGTAGACGCTAGACATTCGATACCATTATAATATGAAGATGGAAGAAAAGTAGCCACATTTTCTTTTAACACTGTTTCACCTATAATATTTTTATTACATTTTATTTAATAAAACTAAAATTAAAAAAGAAAATAATTTAAATTAACAAAGAGAAAAAAAAAATTTAAAGAAAACAAAAAAAAAAAAAATTTAAAGAAAACAACAAAAAAACATATTCAACGTTTTAATTCACTTATGGGAAATTTTTCATTTTATTTATAAAAGCAACTTCTGTGAAGGAATATTACTTTCTATAATCCACAAGTGAATGTGACAGTTTTTATCTAAACCTAAAAATGCTTTAGAACAACTCCTAAAAAATTGTCTGCTCCGACTTTGACTTAATTGCTACATTTTGACTATTATTATAACACTGCTTTTAATGAGTTAGTATTTCACACAAACAATGGAATGATGCACAATATGACTTTATATATTTATATATATATATATATATATATATATATATATATATATATATATATATATATATATATATATATATATATATATATACATATATATATATATATATATATATATATATATATATATATATATATATATATATATATATATATATATATATATATATATATATATATATATATATATATATATATACATACGTTTGTGAACTCGTGGGAATTTATCTATTGTCTCAAGTTGCACAGGTTTATAATAAAAATGATTTCGGACTATACCGCGATGACGGCTTAGCAGTTTTTAAAAACATGAGTGGTCCCCAAATGGAAAAAATTAAAAAACATCTTGTTGAAATATTTAAAAAAAACGAACTCAATATATCAATACAATGCAACATGAAAATTGTAAATTACCTCGACGTCACATTAAATCTAAATGACCATACTTTCCAACCATATTCTAAGCCCGGAAATTCTTTAAATTATATTCACACTGATTCAAACCACCCGCCAAATATTTTAAAACAGCTTCCGCATTCAATTGAGTTAAGATTGTCTGCAAATTCCTCAAGTGAAGAAATTTTCCAAAGATCTACCCCTGCATACAATGACGCACTGTTAAAGTCCGGTTTTAATCATAAACTTTCATACCACCCTAATTTAAATTCACCTTATACAAAAAACCGTAAACGCAACATCATTTGGTTTAACCCACCTTTCAGCAAAAATGTAAGCACTAACATAGGAAAAAGCTTCTTAACTTTAGTCAACAAACACTTTCCAATAAACCACAAGTTCCACAAAATCTTCAACAGAAACACCATAAAAGTAAGTTATAGCTGTATGCCGAACATGAAATCTATCCTAAATGCACACAATCGACAAATTATGAACAACAAAAAAGATCTACCTAAAACCAATTGCAACTGCCTTAATAAAAGCACCTGCCCTCTATCAAACCAATGCTTAACAAAAAACATTGTATACCAAGCTAAAATAAGTTCAACTAATCCTACTACCAATCCTGTCATCAAACTATACATCGGTATAAGCGAAACACCATTCAAAATTAGATATGCCAACCATGTAAAATCTTTTACCATTCAAAAATACAAAAATGACACTGAACTATCAAAAGAATTTTGGAAACTGAAAGATGCAAATTTAAATCCAGTTATTAAATGGAAAATAATTAGGCAGTGCAATGCTTACAACCCAACCATGAAGTCTTGCAAACTGTGTATAAATGAAAAATATCAAATTCTGTTTTCCAAAAATAAAAATCTAATTAACAAAAAAAGTGAAATGATATCCAAATGCAGGCATCGAAACAAGTTTCTTCTCGCCCACTTCGACACGGCTGATTAAACAATTTTCTAATTAAAAATTTTGTTTTGACGTCAGAACTCATTCTATTGCTTTGTTATTGTTTTTTCTGTTAATTTTTGTATTTTGTATTTTTTAACGGTTTTTCTTGTTTTAAAAGAATAAAATATGGCTGATGATTGCCGAAGGGCATGAAACTTCAAGTACCATCAAAAAGTTGTATTTTTTTCAAATAATCAAACTCTATTATTATTATTATATATATACATATATATATATATATATATATATATATATATACATATATATATATATATATATATATATATATATATATATATATATATATATATATATATATATATATATATATATATATATATATATATATATATATACATATATATATAAAATAATTAGGAAAAAACAAAAAAAATGAAACCAATTGGAGAAAAAAATTACACAAAAAATACTTAATTAAAGATATATATATATATATATATATATATATATATATATATATATATATATATATATATATATATATATATATATATATATATATATATATATATATATATATATATATAGCATTTTATATGTGCACTTGCTCACTTTTTTTGCTCATCTAAATCAATATAGGTTTTTTAGAAAACGAAGAAGGAAAATGATGAATAATGAATGAAAAGGTTGCTGACCCATCCCAAAATCTTTAGGCTATGTAGCAGCACTCCACTGCGAGTCAGGCTATTTGTCATTCTATGTATGTACTGAAGCCCCCGGCAGCAGGCTATTTCAGTATGACGTCACACCTCCCACCTAAATCAGCAGTATAAGATAGATATATATATATATATATATATATATATATATATATATATATATATATATATATATATATTTATATATGTGTGTTTATTAACACAGTTTACAAAGGTTAGAAAAACTAAAATACAAACTTCTTTGTAATTGGATGTCAAAAATTGTGAAAATTAAGGTTTTACTAGATTTTGTAAAGAATTGTACAAAATAAAATATTTTCTGTGATTTTTGTGAAAATTTAAAAAGATTAGTTAGATAACTGTTAAATAGCGACCCTCACTACTTAGCAAATTAGATGATATGGTTAGTGATAAATTAAAAAATAGGAAAAAAATTTTGATTTAAAAAAATAAATGATAAAATAAAATTAAAAAAACCATTATGATTTGTTTTAGATGGTTTATTAATACACAGACTTTCCATTTGATAGCTTGGATTACCAGAATCCAGATTATTTTGTACTTTTCTTGCTGATCTTCTCACTAAAAATTAACAAAATTTACAACAGTACTATGTTCACACATGGATTTTCGAAAGTTATTTTTCGGTAACTTTAAAAATTAGGCATTTTTTCTTTTACGCAAACCTAAAAATTAACTTATTTAGAAAAAGATATATAAGACTTATTGTCACCATTTTTGGTCAAAAGATTGGAAATCTTGTGATTCAATAATATCTCAGATCCTAAAACTAAACCTGAAACGATTTCCCTTATTGAAACTAAAGTCTTAAGATCTAGCAATAAATTAAAAAATCAAACAACAGATAAACACAAATAATGTAAAAATTTCACTAAAATAGTAAACTGAAAAAAAAAAAGTCAAAAAAGAGAAAAATTGTTTGAATTTTTTGCACGAAAAAATGTTCCTGTAAACTCCAGGTTTTTAGACAGAGTATTGTATAAATTATTCATAAGCCCATTAATTTTATTTGTTGAAGGAGCATGCAGAAATGTTGTTCCTATGAGGAAAGATGTAAAAAGTGAAATATTAGTCTCATTTATTTTTTTACCAATGCAAATCAAAATAGTACCACAATTGAAAATACCACTACGATACTCTTATCTGTTTCTAATTAACCAAAATACATTAAGAATCAATTATTAGCAGCTTCTTTTAAAATATAGTACTGTAGCAGATCATATTGCATAACATCTCTACAAAAGATGCATTACCACACATAACTGGGCGAATAATTCAACCTAATAGAGGTTGTTTTCAAAAAGCCTCTTTAAGTTAAACTTTATTATTATAAGGTTCAATATAATATGTCCCCTTAAAAAGTTTGCTTCAGCTTCATATAGATTTTTGAAATTTAAAAACGATAACCAATTATTAACAAAGATTTTGAGTTAAATTTGTAGAGCTCAACTTCAAATAAAAAATCAAACTGTTTTGGAAACAGTTATCCGACTTTTCAAATACAAAATACCTTTCCTCTTTTTTTTAACCCAAAATAAGTTTTTTTTTTTAGATATGGACTTAAGATAAAGTTTCTTGTTTTGAAAAAACCTAATATATAATTTTAGAAAATCTCTGTGTTAATATTGAAAATTTTACATTGCTAAGGTATTTTTAAATATATAAAAATTTATTCCATTGTTTGTGTGAAAATAAATGCTAAGTTTTTTAATGCTGTCATTTTTCCTATATCCGCCGACAGGGCTTTAGAAAAATTATTAATTCATTTTAAAACAATTATCAAATCATTCCTTTTTAACTACAGTCTCCAAGATATTCTTGATAACACTTTACTTCATTTCTAGTAATTTCTGGGGTACCAAAAGATTTCATTCTTGGTCATGTGTTTTTCTGCATCAATAATAATGAATGATCTTGCTGATGACACAACTTTATGAATGATCTTGCTGATGACACAACTTTATGAATGATCTTGCTGATGACACAACTTTATAAATGATCTTGCTGATGACACAACTTTATGAATGATCTTGCTGATGACGCAACTTTATGAATGATCTTGCTGATGACATAACTTTATACTCGAGTTTGGATGCAATGATTTAAAATTTGTGTGTTTTAAAAATGTCCAAAATAAACAAACCATAAAATGAAAAGAGAAACAAATTCTTACGGAATGAAAACAATAAAGGAATAAAACAATAAGATAAGCATAAAAATAACATTTTTTAAATTTAAAAGGGTCTCGATCAATAGTCTTTAGTTTAGTTTAGCTTTTTTAGCGCAAATTATCAAAACATGCAAAGAGCCATAGCCACATTGTCAAACTAAAACATTAGACACGTGACCACACACCCATTCACAAAAGGTTGCATTTAAAAAATAAACTCAAAAGTCAAATACTACAACTGGAAAAATGTTTTTCTACAACTTAAATGCCTTTAACAGTTTTTATTTTAACAGGCATTTTTATTACTGAATTTTGTTTTTTGTTTTTAAAAACTCTGAAGATTGGTGTAAGCTTTTTAACTAATTTTAATCTTCTAGTGCTCCTAAAATATCAAAGACTAACTGTACTAAATTTTAAAATCTCTTATGCTCTTGCAGTAAATTCTTCCACTTTCTGATAAAATATTTAAGCCTTTTATGACTTAATTCATAAATAAACAGCTTATTAAGTTTTCTGCTGAAAACCCTGTTTGATGGTTGGTAAAATATGAGAATACTTTTTACGTGTCTAACAATTTTCTGTCATCAAATAATTGTTTTGGTTAAAATAGTCTACAAAAAAAAAAAAAAAAATTAATTGTATAGCCTGTCTTATTTATTTTTAAATATTCCTCTATTAATCTTTATTTTTATCTTGACAACTGTCAAAATATGCTTTGTCTAATAAATAATTCTCCTTTATTCTAATGTACTTCATTTCTTCCCTCAGGCGTTCACTGCTCGTGTGTGACCATTTGGCGAATTTTATATGCCAAAGTTTTTAAATAATATTGGGCCTAGCCCGTAAGGGTTAGTGTTACGGTCATCGAGCACGACTATTTTCCTAATCGCAATTACTGTCACCGCGAAAGAGGATTTTTGTCTGTGGAAGATGCCTGGGCTAGCTTTTTAGTCATAAGTCAGTTATAAATCCATGCATAGGTGTTTAATCCATCATGGTTTTCTTGAGTATGGCTGGGCTGGCTTGGTTTAGTTCAGAGACAAATCTTTTACGCTGGTTACTAACAATACAAGACTCTACTGAACAACATAAACAGCACAGACTTACACATTACACCTATACACCCTTATGCACATACAGCCTGTTTACATCTTTTGCATGCTTTTTGTTCTGTCATAGATAAACTATCTTTGTTTGAACTCATCCTTATTTAGATAATATTTTCTTTTAATAGATATGTTGTTGAAATGTAGATACAGATTTGTATGTTATCTATATGTGTTTATCATGTGTGTAATACCTTGTTATTATTGACCCAAACTTACACATGGAAATTATTTTAAATCTTATTTTTACCTAATTCATAAATAAACAGCTTAATAAGTTTTCTGCTGAAAAACCTGTTTGATGGTTGATAAAATATGAGAATACTTTTTACGTGTCTAACAATTTTCTGTCATGGCTCATTTTTATGCAAACCATACATTTGTCAAATAATTATTCTGGTTAAAAAAGTCTTCAAAAAAAAACAAAAAAAAAAAAAAAAAAAAAAAAAAAAAAAATTAAAAAAAAAACAACAAACCTAATGATGTTTTATTAGAAACTATATTTTCATCTAAACAACTTGAGTTTGATGATGTTAGATTAGTCTGTGATCGTCTTGCTGATCCCCTTACTAAAATAAAATTTAAAATAAATTTTAATACAATTTTTTTTTTAAATCAAATAAATCAAATAAAAAAACCAATAAAAATAATACAAAATAAATTTTAAAAATAATTAACTGTGCAACATTTTGTGATATTTAATTCTTTACAGTCATAAAAATATATAAATAATGATATAAAAAAAAAATTACAAATTTTAAATGTGCTATTCACATAAAAAATTATTGTCAAAATTTTACCTTTAAAATATAAAAAATCTAACACCATCAATGTAACTCTAACATTGTTTTAAGCATGATTTTTAATAACATGTACTTGTACAAGTTTTTATTTACTTTTAAACCATATTTGTATACCATATTTATGTACCATATTTTCTTATTTGTATTTGCAGAACTTTTCTAATTACTACAATTTTATTATACGAGTGTACAAACTAATTATTTATTTTTAATTCTTTGATGAATGACAAGTCAAGCGAGAATGAGTTTTAGTTAAAAGAACTAGAGATGAAAGCTCCTTTGAGCAGCAGTTATGATTGTATTTGTAGAAAAGAGAAAGTGATGCAATTTTATGACGATGGAAAAGAGGCTTGAGCTTAGTAGATAGAACAGGTCCAACTTCGTTTACATTGGCTTTTTGAACCTTGTCTAGAAGAGAAAGAATATCATTAGAAAAACCACCCTAAGTACGACAACAGTACTCCATACAGGGACGAATAAATTATTTACAAAGGTAGAGAATGGAATCAAGAGAAAGAAAATGGCGAGCACGATAAAAAGAAGCAACCTTAGCAAAGGCTAACTTACAATCGATAATTTATATGGTTTCAATCAACCAAAATAAATAAAAGTAGTAAATTATAATCCAAGAAGACGTAAAGAAAGTGAAAGGGTTATCATTCATTAATATAAGAATGTTGACTCAGTGAAAGGGTTATCATTCATTAATATAAGAATGTTGACAATACTGAGTTTGCAGTAAATAACTGAGTTTTGTTATAGTTGAAAATTTACAAGTCACTGTGAGCCCCAATCTGATACAGAAGCGAAATCAGATTCAAGATTTGCTGCCTGTTCTAAGCAATCGAAAAGAGAAGACTTTTTGTCAAGACAGTAGTATAAAATTGAGTCATTAGCAAAAAGAGCTACTTAGAAGTAAGGTTTTTGGGAAAGATCATTAATGTAGATAAGAAACAAAATAGGATAAAACTTAGAGGTACCCCAGAAATTTCTGGAAATAAAGAAGAGTGTTGGCCTTCGAGGATGACTTTAACAATGTGGTTAGAAAGAAACAACTTAAGAATCTCAAAAACTTTTCCAGATACACCATATGAAACAAGTTTATGGAGAAAACCAATGCCAAACCTTGTTGAAAGCCTTAGAATTGTCAAGAGCAATAACCTTAGCCTCCCTGCCTCCATCTAATGCATGATAAAATAGGAAGAGTTGCATAGCCACTATCAAGGAGGCACAAGCAAAATCTATGAGAAAAGTCGGGAAGATCCAGCATTTTTCATCCTAGGCAGGAAACAATGTAACACAGGTTTACATCTATGCCATCCTGATAGATGAAGAAGGGGTTTGAGGCTAGTCAACAGAATTATTATGCTTACCCCTAAAGTCTTTGAAATATATAATAACAAATAAACAAATAAAATTAAAAAATATATAAGTCTATAAAAAGACATAATATTTTACAAGAGATGATGATAGTTGATAACTGATAAGATGATGATAGTTCAACAAAAATAAATTTTTTTTTTAAAAAAAAAAGGAAAAAATAAACTTTAAGTATAATATTCAAATATTTCTAATATAATTATTCAAATATAATATTCAAATAGTGTACATAAATATTACAAAAAGAGTATTATCAATTTCACTCTAAATAAATGTTTTTAAAGGCATAGAGTTTTAAAGTTACTAAAGTTGCAAATTAAATTATGTAAGATACAGTTATTAAACAAAGATTTAAATTAATTTCTTTATTTCAAGATTTTCTTGTAATGGTATATATTTAAAAAAAAAACTATTATAAAACTATTATAAAAACCAACCTTTAGCAGATTCTAAGGTTTTTTCCAAATGAGTTTTTTCCTGAGTTTTAAGGCTTTCAAAACTTTTTTCAACATTCTTTTCTTTATCCCCTGTAATACACAATTTCTAAATATTCTCAAACTAGTAAATTTATATGCATAAAGCAAAATAATGCAAGTTTTATTTATTAAAGTTTTATTAAATATATTTAAAAGTTACCTGCCTAAAAAGTAATTTAAGCAACAATAAAATAGATAGTAGTTTAAATTCAAGAATGAAAAATTAATAATCTAACAAAAAAGTTATTTAAGACAATTTTCAATGCACTGGAAATGAGGACGATGATGATGATGATGATATTGATGATGATATGTAGGATGGTGCAATGCAAATTTTAAAATAGAGGTTAAAAAAAAAAGTAATCTATTTTAATTATGCGACTAAATATTTATTTGTATTGTTGTTAATCTAATTTTAAATTTTTATCGTTAAATAAATTTTAATATATAAATTTTAAATAAATTTATAGTGATTTAAAATTGCATTAAATGATTCAAAACATTGTAAAAGAACTTATTTAATTTAATAGCTTCCAGATGAAAAAATTTGCTAGACGCGCTTGTTTTGGTCAAATAGTTATGGGGTAGTGGTGTAGTGGTAAAACGCTCGCTTCATAAGCGAGAGGTTCCAAGTTTGATACCCACCACATCCCTGATAGTACCACGCTCAACTTGTTTCTCCGCGCAGCGGCCTTATTTGTTAAGGTTCATGTTTCAGAGTTATAAAATTGAGAGAGGGTTATAACCACTATTAAGTAGCTTCCTCGCCTGTAGTGGCCATCTCGGCCTTAAGGAGGTGATTAACAAAAAACAACAACAACAACAACAACAAAAAAAAAAAAAAAAATTTACAAGAATGTTGCAATATGCTATTTTAGAATTGATTTAAGGTATTTAATGATCAGAATGAAATTCATTCACCGCACAAGGACAGCAAGTAAATTAAAGCAATGAATTGAAATTTAAGCAATGAAATGAAAAAAAATAAATGAATCAATAAAAAAAATAAAGCAATGAAACAACTAAAGTAACTTCCTCGACTATAGTGGCCTGGGGAGGTGAATGGAAATAAAGAGAGAAAAAAAAAAAATAAACTGAATGAGCAAAATCCTAAAGAAATTAAACAAGAGACTTATGGTTAGTAGTGGCTAAGTTTAAACAAAAGACATTCACTGATACTATTGCAATTAATTGATACTATTGCAATAACTGATACTATTGCAACTAATTTATTTCAATTAAACTATATAACAAAATATATTTTAATATTTTTTGTAAATATGCAATTTTGCTAAAAAAAAATTCCTTAATAACTTGACATTATTTTAGAAATTACCTGGTTGAAATACTTTTCTGTGCTTTTTATAACCCAAAATAGATCGTTTTTTTCTTTTTGGTCTTTTACTTGCTATTGATTGCTCTTTATTACTAATATTATTATTATTATTACCATCTTTGTTATTATCATCTTTATTAGTTTGTTGTAATTTAAGGTCTGCAGGTTTTTCAGCCAAAGAAACAAGACAAATATTTAATTGTTGGTCTATAGATATATCTGGCAAATTTACTTCAGCATTTGCAATTAACTCATTAATAGATAAAACCTTCCTAGAATCCAAAACTTGTTTGTTAAAAGATGTATTATCGAGGTTCTCTGCAGAAAAATTTGTTTCTGTGGTATTTTTATTGGGATCAAAATTTTGTAAATAATGTTCAAGAGATTGATTAGATAAAAAAACTTCATCTCTGCTAGATGGTATCTCATCAATAATATACGAGATATCTATAAATAAAAATAATCAACACATTACAAAAACAGATTTAAACTGATAATTAAAAAAAAAAAAAACAAGTCTAACACAGATTAAGTAAATTAGTAAATTTAGAAAATGTGACCATCAACAAACTTAATCATCAAGTGTATGCGGCCATTACAAAGCCTTTTTTTTATGTATTATGATGTTGGAAGAGATGTAAATAATTTAAATTTTTCTTAAAAAGTCTTGTGTGGGTGCAGGGCGCTTGAAAAATGTCAGTTTTTTAAAAAAACAATCAAAATAGCACCTACCCTATGGAAATTCCATTTTCCAAATATGTTAAGACATAATATAGACATAAAATTTTTTAGAGCTGATATTCTTAAAGTCATACAAAGGGTCAGGGCAATAACATCCATTTTTGCCATGTATAATAACATCCGTGAAACAACATCCAAAATTTCATAGATGTATAATAACTTCCATGCAACAACATCCCAAATTTCACTGATGTATAATAACATCTGTGCAATAACATCTGTAGATTTTTTGGATGTAACTACATCCAAAATTTTTTTTTTTAAATGCATAATTTTAACCAGATGTAGTTACGCATCTGATTTTTTTCAGATGTAACTACATCTGCCAAAAAAAAATTATAATGCATTATTTTAACCAGATGTAGTTACAATTCTGATTAACTACATCCGGTAAAAAAGTAATTTAAAAATGCATTATTTTAACCAGATGTAATTACACATCTGATTTTTTGTATCCCTAAAATAATGCATTATTAAAAATAAAATAAAAAATATAATAAATTTCTAGATGTAACTACGTCTAGAAATTTATTATATTTTTTATTTTTTAATAATGCATTATTTTAGGCCGATGTAGTTACACATTGAGAAAAACTCTCGGATGTAGTTACATCTTTCTAAAGATGTTATTAGACATCAATGAAATTTCGGATGTTGTTGCACAGATGTTAATTCAGTAAAGAAAAAAAGCGGATGATCTTACACAAAAATGTGCATATGTTATTTCACTACTCCACAGATGTTGTTGGACAGATGTAGTAATCTTTTCCCCATACAAACACAGTAAACACAAGTAAAATTGTCCACCATTACTCATTTTATAAAAAAAATTATATAATCAGGGCTCGAATCAAGCGTATCGAATCGTGATTGCTTTTCACACCTTTGCAATTAGTTTTTTCTTAAAAAAATATTTTTGCAATTTTTTATTTTTATTTTTGGTTGTTTATTTATTTATTTTTTTTAATTAAGTGTGTCACCCTAATTTTATCTAATCTTATCAAAAAGCACTTTTGAATTTTAATAACTTTAAATTTCTGCATGGAAGCTAATGATAATTTAAAAGGTCCTTATAGCGAAGAGTTTGAAATAGAAAAGACGTTACAGCAATTTTTTTTTTTTTTTTTTTAAACAAAAAAGCCTGGTTTATTGCTGTTTTTAAAATTAACTTATTATTAATAATTTAAACAAATTAACTTATTATTAATAATTTAAACAATTATTTTAACAACAATTTTATATTATTAATTTTACTACTTTAAGTATATTAAAATATATATTTAATCATTTTTATTAAAAAAAATTTCTAATAGTTAATCAGTGCTAATAGATACCAGTAACTTTTTTGCTTCAACATATTTTGCTTTAACGGCTCTGAACTATTCAAAGTTATATTTACTTTGATTTACTGAATGGATCAAAAACATCACAGTAAAACAAAACATCACAGTACATTTACTTATAAACTAAATCAAAACAACCAGTTGAGTTTCTACAGTAACTAACTTACAGTAATTCACTACAGTAACAATTACTCATTGAGTCAAATATTAACTTATTAACTATATTAATTTACTTAATATACTTCAAGACTTACAAAAGTTAGCCAGACAGATACTTATATCTTATATGTTGTTAACACATAAAATAAGAACAAAAAAAAACTTGAACGTTCAATAATTATAAATTTAATTGCAGCAGCGTCTGTAATACCCAGTAGCATAGCCAGAGTTTTTTTTTTCAAAATTTTAATTCTGTTCAAAAAAATGTTTTTCCAAAAAAAAAATTTTAAGCAAATACTTGAACTTAACAAAATATAAATTGATTTATTAAACCACATTAAACCAATTTTTTATATAACAATTTGAACATAAAAAATTAACGAAAACATCAATTTAAAAACCATTAGAATGAAAAAACTATTTATACTTATATTTTTAATAGTAAGTTTATTATAAGTGGATTTTTAGTAGTAATAACAATAAATTATGAAAATATTTTTTTGTTTTGTCTTTAATTGTATGGATATGTATGCTTATGCATTTTTTTTTTAATTAAACATTTCTATTATTTAGTTTGTTAAACGCGTTTTATATTATTAATGTTATAAAAACCTAACTTTATAAAACAGCAACACGATCAGCATCATGAAGTTGTTTTATATTAACACAAGCTCTTTATAATGTCAAAACTTTGCAGTTTGTTTGTTGCTTTATAGCTTTTCACAATAACAATTCAATACTCTTTAAAAATAACATGTGTTTTATTGTCAGCATGAACGAGTTAAATAGTTTTTTGCAACTAATTAAAGTGGTTTAAATATTGCAATATTTATTTAAATATCGCAATATTACTAAAAGTAATATTGCGATAGTATTAAATACTTTACTTGCTCATTACATCATAACTTGGTCATTACACTATAACTGTAACTTAAACTTTAAACTATAACTTAAGCTGTAAATTATAACAGTAAACTATACTACTTTAAACTTCACCAAATGAGAAAATTACAAGATAGTATTTAAATATAAAAGATATTATGTTTAAAAAATAACAATTACGAACTAATGTATAAAAAAATCCAATTTTGTACCAACTGGAATCCCCCCCCCTCCTTATTGCAGAGCAGTGCCAGGGATGAGGGGGGAGAGGGTGTAGAAATTTTTTCTTTTCGCGATTGGATTTTTAGGGTTATTTTGACCCCTAAGCAACTTTTATAACTGATAATAACTAAGCAACATTAAAAAATAAGATACAAAATAATATTCAAAAATTCAATTTTTATCACTTTTACATGAAGTTCATCCATCAGTTTTAAAGCACATTCAGCAACTTGGTTAGAACTATGATTAATGATACCTATACTGATGAATGCCTCTTTAAACACTTAATTGCCTATTTGCATTTTATCTTTTTTTATAATCAAAGGATGCTAGATTGTAGTGTTGCAAATGGAAACAAGCATTTACCCATTTGTAGCAACGAAGTTGCATGCTGGAGCGAGGATGATGCGCCACTCTGGTATAAGAAAGAACGCTATAACAGCATATATAGCATGTGAGTTCCATCATGTCTGATGTAAATTTGGCAGTTTCTTCCAGCTGATTTGAGGCTAAAAGTGAAGTGTTTTTATAATGATATGTCTGACATAGTTCACATAAGAACTTGAAATCATTTCGCTATTTTATCGGTTTACTCATTGGCTCTAGAATAAGAAAATTTATGAAATGCTTCAGAAGAAGATTAAATACATGGTGCTGACAGCCAATATATTGTGGTTTATGAAAGCCATTGTTCAAGACATCATCTTGTGTGAGCTTTACAACCCTGTGCAAAGGACCAGTATTTTCGGCAGTTGTGAAGAAAAAAACATCATGTACTTATGTGTAGAAATGCAAGAACATCATGTAATTATGTGTAGAAATGTTTTTTTTCAGTACAATTGTATTATAACTAGTATTACAACCATATTATAACTCGCTGTTATAATATGCTTGCTCTTTGGTATTTTAGTATGCATTTAGGAGATGACATAGAAGAGGTTGAAGATTTAATTTTATGTGTTTATAAGAGTTGTGATTGAAATAAGGCTTGAAGTTGAGCTTTTGAAAGTTGGATTCGTTTTTTTAAGATATAGATATATCTATATTGATTCCAAATGGGCTTGCTTGATCATTACATAACTATTTTTTCTCTAATCTTGCCTCTGGTAGAGCTCTTTAACCTCCATGCTTTTACATTTTCCATTAGTGTTGGTGATATCAAATAACTGAGAAAGTATTTCAGTGAATTTACCAGATGGTTTCTTTTTGTTTTTGTCATATATATCAATCTATTTTTTTTCAGATGAGGCGCTGGATAATAGTGGAAAGTCTAGAAAATTGCTCCAGAGTGATTCTATATCTTTAATTATAATTTGTATTCCATCCACTCACTGTTTCTCACTATTTAACAGAAAAGTGAAATTTCTATAAATTTATAGTAGATTATTCACTCAAATGCAACTGTTTTACTTTACACTGTAGCTGGAATTTCTAAGACATTTTATTTTAGTTTAAAGGTGATTATATATTTGCACCTGAAACAGAAAATAAATAAAATATAACAATAATAAAATAATTATATAAAGTGAACTTGTCCCATGCTGGAGTGAGTTCACAAGGTATAGCTAGGATCAAAACAAAGAAAATAAAATTAATAACTAGTTGTTAAATTTATAAACCTTGTTTATAAACAAATGTAAACAGCTGACTGATATTTGCTCAAAAGCAGTCTAGAATGTCATATGAAAGTAATTGTAAAATTGAAACCGTCAATTGTTTCTTGAATGTAAGGGGTTTCACTTTCGTTAGGAAAAAAAATGATAATAGCTATTACCCTAATGTACAACTGCTAAATTTAGTGAATAGTTTGAACATGCAACAATTTTCTTTGCCATTGATTTCTTCAACACACTTCTGAACGCCTTTTAGGTGACCAGATATCACAGCAACATTTTGCATGCTTTTCCTATAAGTTTTTGAATTTCTATTTCATCGCATTACTTTTTTAAATAATTTGACCACAGTTTTTTCAAAAATCATTTTAAAAAAGGGCTTAATGAAAAAAAAAAATGAATTATATCTTAGATAAATAAATGATATCTAAACTTTTATCTAATATTTTTATATTGGCAAAACGCATTTAAATCAAGTAACAATTTA